AGAGCCCCAGCCAATAGTGTCAATACAATACACAGTGTCAAATGAATGAATCTACTTTTCTTAACAGAACACTCCTACTAAATTAACGCGTTAGTAATAGACTCATCAACAATATACCCTCAATAACACCTCCTCATGAAGCTTTCACCTGGGTTTAGAAAATCACAAAGAACACAAAGTGATATCTGTTCTCTGGATCTTGGCATTAAATTTAAGCTGACTAACTCCTCCCAGCTTGCCTGAGACTTTCCCAGTTTCACCACTAAACTCCCCACCCCCAGCCCCATCCCGGGACTCCTTCAGTCCCAGGCAAACCAAAATGGTTGGTTACCCTAATTAAATTCATGAGGTGCTAAAGAAAGGCATCTGGAATCACATTACTTTAAATCGACCTTGCACATAAAAGTTTGCAAATATTGATCTATTAAACCGGCCTGTGTCTTCCTTCCCAGATCACAGCCGTGTTACTGGATCCCTGAAGCCATCGTGTGAAATTTGAGCAAAGGCTTTGAATTGTATTTTGCACTTTTACTAAGATTCCTGTTTGCCTCTACCCTGGATGTGTTGGAGCTCAGCCTGTGAATCTGAAGTGAAATCTCTTCTGTATTTCATAGTTACATTAAAACTACAATATGTGAACCTCCCAGAGAAAAAGGTACTGCAGGATTTAAAGCGTTAGATCCTCTGGGAAAGGCAAAAGAGATCCGAGTTTATAACCTCTTTGGGAGTTAGAAGAGTGAACTCCAGAGAATATTTATCAATGTTATTTCTAGGAGTGAATAAAGGCGTAGCCATCCCTAATCCAAAGGAACTCATCCCCTTTAGCTGCTAACATTACCCTGAAACTTCAGACACCGGGTTCAAACATAACTTGTTGATTCGAAATGTCAACACCTTTCAAATGGTGCCTTAGGAGAATTTGGAGAATATGAACATCCTCAGATCTAGGCCCCAAGCTTCTAGCAGCTAGAACATCTTGGGTATTCTCTTTCCCTGATGATTCACGGGGATGGGTGTTTGGGTGTTTCAAGTTTAAAACGTTCTTCTCAGCCAAAACTGAAACTGAGAGAGGCAATCACTCTGGAATTTTTTGCACCTGCAAAAACAGTTGTTATTAAAATCAACTGTTTGCGCTGCACAGGCCATGGCATGTGGTGGTGGTGTTTCTCCAGCCACGCGTGTAAGGGGTTCGCGGGGCGGTGCTTGCACAATCCGGACACAATACATCCCCCGGAGCCAGCATTCTCCATTCCCACGTGTTTATAGAGCAGACACAGAGCCAACGGACCAAACCTCCAAAGCGCAGCTTGCTTAGAGGAACAGAAGTGCACGTGCAGCTTTTCTTCTATAGAAACAGGCCAGAGGACTCCAGGAAATGTTTTTCGGACTGTGTGCGCTCTGAAACGCCCCGCATCTTGCTCCTTCACAGCATGACCCACGTTCTTGGACAGACTTACCATTTCTGCTAAAACCAGCTATTAGGCTTGGCCACTTCCTTCCTTCCAGGCACTATTTTCAGTAGCAGAGACACAGAGCCCCGGCACCTGTTGTTAGCACAGCCACAGAAGGAAACTCTACGAACCCTCGTTTGCCCCCACCGCACGGCCAGGGATGTCCGAGCCGCAGCGGGGGGACAGGGCCAGTGTCCCGAGGGGCGGGCTGGGGCCCAGAGGCCAGGCGGCCTCAGGATGTTAACGTTTCACCCAGCGCCTTCTTGGCACACCGTGGGGCTCCTCTCCAGGTCTGAGGCTGGCCACGTCCCCGAGGGTCACGGCCGTGAGTCCCAGCCCTGTCTTTTCAACACTGGGACGGTGGGTCCCTGAGGAGGAGGAGGAGATTCTGGGGGCGGCTGCCAACCTCGTTGCTCCCCTTGGGATGCAAACATGACTGAGGCACGGCCCCGAGGAGCTTGCAGCTCCGTGGGCCGGGATACTCTCGGGAAGGGGTCGGCTGCAGCCTGGGAAGGGACGCAGAGCTGGCTCCCGGCCCCCGCGGCTGGTCAGGCTCGGGTCCCGCTGGCTCCGATCATCGTGGCCCTGGGCATGTCACCCGATGGAATTTTAGGATGAGGTGGCTGACCACCACCAGGTAAAAGCCAGTTTCTGCTTCCGTTCTCTTTCCAAACCAAAACTGGTACTGAGACACTGGAGGGCGGGCACTGCCTGCTGGGGACCCCGTCTGGGCTACCTCGATGCAAACCTCTTCCTTTGTTCTTCAGCAGAAATTTGGCAGAAAAGTGGGGTTCTTATTTTCACCTTTTATCCGAGTCTGTTTGTCCACAGCTAGAATAACAGGGGCTTTTAAAACCTAATGAATTCAACGTTCAAAGAATAGCCTCAAGCAAATGGAATGTCTAATGTTCCCTCTCCCTGGTTTAGGGCAGGAGGCCATTGGGGCTTAACGTCTTTTTCATTCACATGCAAAGTATTTCCAAAAGCACAAGTCTTAAAATTCAGAATTCTGAGACCAGATCTCTAATATTCCTCATTCTTAAAATTTTTATCTCCTTAGTGGGTACTTGATAGTTTAGTATATTTTAGATGTGAAGAACAAAAAAAGGGACACTGTTTTGGGGGGTTTGCTGTCCAATGCATTTGTGTGCGTTTCTTTCCATGTGTATTTCTTCTCTATAAATACATTTGAATAGACTAAACACCTCCTTTGGCAGTTACTTCATCAAAACATTGAAGAAATGCTACGGTTGAGCCTGGATTTATTTAGAGACTTGTGAATGGTGTTCTGGAAGCTCTGTGCAGTTGGAGGATGTTCTGGGTTCTCTCAGCCTTCCGACTGGGAGGAAGATCCTGTCACTGGCTTCACAGTTCACAGCTGTACAGTGTTTCTGTTATCAGGGGAGAGACCTGAATGCCGGCTGCAGAGAATGGAGATTATTGTCCCAAAGGCTGTTCCACTGAACTTGCTACTTAGACACACACACACACACACACACACACACAGCCCGTCAGAAAAGCATTATCAGCTCACACAGACGCTAGCCAAACAGAGCACATGTCCCCAGAACTTCCTCTAACTGACAACAACAAGGTCTAAGGCTGAGTCCCGGAGATGCCCATGCCATTTGCTTTTCTTCCTCATGTCAACCCTCGGCATTCTTTCCCGACACTACCGGCAAGTAACACTTAGAAGCAATACAGCCTTTGTCAGACAGAATTTCAATATGATTCTGTTTTCCGTGGCCATGGGTACTTTGGTACTTCAACTGGGCACTTCCAAATCCTGAATTTTCTTTCACCCGGTCAGGTTCTGGAAGTCTTGGTCACAACCACAGAGGGGGAGGAGGCAAGCGGGGAGGCGTTTGGGGACTGCGGAGCTGCGGAAAGGGGCAGGGTGCGAGCTGGGAAGAGAGAAGGGGACAGACACCGGGAGCTACCCACAACCCAGCGATTGCTGGGCCACTTTTTGTTCTGGTTTTTTAAATCTATTTTAAAACAGGGGGACTAAATCAAAGGACTTAGGTCCAAGTCACGAAGAGCTGGACTCCTCTATTTAGGACCCTGAAGAAGAGTCGGTCTCCGCTGAAGAGCACAGTGCTTAGGAGGCGGAGAGCGGCTCCTTCCTCTCTGGGACTTTTTTCACTAAGAAAGTGAGGCTTTCCCATGGAATTGAGGTAAACACACGGTCCACAAACTGCTCCTCACAGAAGCGGTCAACCATCATCTAAGATGTGGCATTTCAACACAACCCATCACCCTGTAAAACGCTTCAGTTAATTTCTGTTCAGAGCTGGATAACGTTATGACTACTCATTATGTCTGTAGCCACACATGAAGAAAAGCATAAAAATAGCTCACTGTCCTTTCATTGAAGGAACCTTTCCAAACATTAACTTGGCAATCTCCTCCACAACCCTGGAGGTAGCAGTCAGGCAGCTAGAGCCCCAGTTCTTTTTTTTTTTTTTTTTAATTTTATAGACATCGCGGAAGCAGGAGAGGTTAGCGCAGTGGCTTTCCCAAGGTCAAGGATACACCTTGCAATGACACGTGGGTGACGGAGTCTGGAGTTCTCTCATGCAAAAAGACCTGCCACACGTACTGGGGGCAGCTTCTTCGTCTAAGGGTCAGGTCCTGGAAGGAAGACTGGTGTAGACTAGGAACCTAACCCAACAGGTGTCTCCTGTTACCGAAAATGTCTTGTCCACGGGCCTGGTATGTGACATAAACACAAGATTTCCGTCATACGTATAAGCTTGGGGGGAAGAAGAGGAAAAGCACAGAGGTAGACAAGGAGAGGGGGGAGCAGGAAAACGACTCCCTCCACAGTCACACCAGACTTGGCTTAACTCGTGCCCTTGATCACTACCCAGGTGACCTTGAGTAAAGGCATTTTAAGTTGCCATTTCTTCCACGTGAAATGGAGAGAAGTCCCTATCCCGGACACAATCTTGTGTGAAGGGAGCTCACATAAAACAGGCTCAGGGTGAGCTCTGAGCCCAGGGAGAGCACTAGAAAGACAAGGCCTTTGGGGCCTCCTGGTTAAGAACCCCCAGGGTTTCTTGTGGTTGAAATGGGAGAAAGTTTTGATCCCCAAGAAGCAACGGTACTTGGCCAGCCCCGTCCCACGGTGGTGCCCCCAAGCAGACACGGACAAAGTCAGGCATGATGCTCATTAAAAATTTAACTATATATCATATTCATTTATTATCAATCCACAGGATAATTTGATTGCTACATGAGCTCATAAAAGCTTTTTCACCTTTACAAAATTAAAAAAAAAATGTGCCACAAGGATGTAATAACAACTGCTGATAAACAAGAAAAGGAATCTTAAAATTATAAATTTGCTGTAGAAAAGATAAAAAACAATTATATTTTCTTTAGAATTTTACCTTGAATAAAATATTCCCCTGTATAAAAAATAAAAAAGCTTGCTCTGGTTAGAATTAGAATATTTTTGTCTTCAGATCTGGGAATTTGCATAATATCTCCATGATAGTTTTCCTCTGTACCGCGTGGCATTCAAGCACAGCAGATTAGATTTTCTTTTTCTTTCTTTCTTTTTTTTTTTTTAAAGCAGTCTTAAAAAATGGGGTATCTGTGGAGAAGCTCTTTCTTCTTCTCCTCCTCAGGGATGTGGAACACAGCCTCTGTGGGGAGGACAAGGAGGAAAGGGAGCGGGCCAGGCCGAGGGGCGGGACAGACACAAAGGGCGGCGAAGGGGGGGCGCTGAAATGTGCCGTGAAATAGAGCAAGATCACAAGAAGAAGGTCTATCTGTAAGTGCTTTAAGATAAGGTGCAGAAGCAGACTGCAACGTCGCTAGTACTGCCCTATGTACATATTCACAAGAATAAAAAATTCCAGCTAGTTCACATTTTCTCATCTGTTCTGAGGCATCCACTCCACCGTGCTGGCCTTGACCGCAGGCATTGCAGCACCTTGCTGCCCGTGGGGGTGTTGGTCCTATGACGTCCTTGAACTTGAGGGAGCAGCCCTGGGAGATCCAGCAGGCTCTAGAGATACGCGTCTACCAATGGGCTGGAGTCCTGAGTTAAAAAGAAGCTCCAGTACTGGAGTTGGACACAGCAATCAATGTTCTATTGTCAAGGCTTTTTCCCTTAGATTTGTCTAGGATAGGTGTCAGAGAGAAAAATAAAATACAAACAACCAACCAAACAAAGCCAAGAAATCCCAACAACCACCAGGGGAAGTCAAAGGCTTAACAGCTCTTGACGCGGGCCTGGGTGATATCTGAAGTTTTCTTGATGACGCTGGCCCGAGTCTCCCGGTCCGGCCGACTGCTGCTGGGCGCTGGGGTCACGGAGGGTGGGAGGGGGAGGTCTGGTAAAGTAGGCCACGAGCTGTTATAAGGCACCGGACAGCTCTCCTCTTTGATGGTGACCTGGAGGTCGGGTTTGTTGGAAGTAACGAAGGTCGCCATGCCGGGCAGCAGGTAGGTGCTTCGCGTCCCCATGTTGCTGAGGTACTGTTTGCCTTCAATGTTCCTCTTCCGCCAGTGTGGCCGTCCCTTTCAAAGAAAATAATCGAGAGAGAAATTTTTTTTCTTTGCCTTCTATTGAATGGCATTCTACAAAAGGGCGCCACTGTTCCCACATGTTGGTGTGTTAAATGAATTTCTTAAGAGGCGTGGAATGAACAGAAGCTTAGCGACTCGACGCCCCTCAGCTGACATCCATACCAGCTACTCACATGCCAAGCAATGGTTTCATTTCCCTTTCTATCAATTCCCATTTGCTACCTCCCAGAAAAAAACAGCCAACACTGTTCTATGAAGGCAGGAAAACAAGGCAGCAACTTGGTTTCTGGTTCCCTCTCCTCCGGCCGCCCAGCCTGATCACTGGGTAGGTTTTAGGTCATCATGGCTGGTGTGTCATAGAGACTTGGTTCCTCACTCCTGGCCCAATCCAATCTTTGAGTCAATCTGCATTTTCAGAGAAAGGGAAGTGAGGAACTCGGAGGGTGAAAGCCCTTCCAGTGAGGACAGCTTACAGCTCCAGTGTGCCAAGCAAATAGGGGGCCTCCGGGGTGACTTCGCTCAAAGGATGAGCTGGAATTTCTGACCTTGAAGAAATAGGGTTTGGCATGCCAGCATCTACGCTTCCTGTCTTTGCAGAATTCCTGGACTCTACTTGAAGTATTTAGTACACTGGGAAATGACGAATTAAAACAACCATTAGTCAGTCAATCTCTCTCTTTCTACCGCAAACACAGACATAAAGCAGGCCATTAGCAGGAATGCTCTCCTTCACATTTCCTGCCATTGTGTGAGCCCAGCCTCGAGCAGGGAAGTGGGAAGCAGGCGACTAAGAACCCAGACTGAACACACAGCTAGCCTCTGGGCATTGATCACAGAGAGAGGGGACTCCAGGTAAAGGTGGGAGATACATTTGCTTATTAGCACTTTCTGACAGTTACTTCCGGTCACTGCTCTTGGCCACTTGGACGTTCTATTTCTGCCGCTGAATTGGGATGTTTATAGTGGTGAGAATATCAACAGTTCCTGGCCTCCACTTTAGTTTCCTTTTCCTGCCGTCATAGCCTCTTTCTCTAATAGTAACATCTCACTCTCCTTCCTCCCGTTCAGTTCCCAAAGCTTAAATTTAGAATCCAGACTCCAAAAGTGTGGCAAATTTCATGTAATGTATATTTTGCAACAACACACACACACACACACACACACACACACACACAATCCTCCAGGAAAACTCATGATCAAATGCAGAGCAGCTTAACCAGCAGCAAGGACACCGAGGTGCTGGTTGGGAATGGCTTCCCACAGCGTCGGTTGGAGCCGAGTGGCGGCCGCCATGCTTACCTCGGCGCTCTCTTCATCACTGGGCACACTATCGGTAGTTTCGCTTTCTGTTCACAGAGAGAAAAACACAGGGCCATCATTCCTGCCGCTCAAACTGTCGTGAGGCTCAGGCAGTGTTTAAAAAATATATCAGCACTTCTTTTTTTTTCCAAAAGAGAAATGGGTCCGTGAACTCCTCTTCACCCCCTCTGTAAGGGTAATAAGCACTTGGAACTTGGGAGATGCTACCATGGATTTTATTTCTCTGATTTTAGCCCTTCCGAGAAAAGTTTTAGAGTTGGGGGTAGCTCCCTTTCCAGGGGCCAGGCTATGTTTTCTCATGGCCGCTACCTCCCAGGATGGGGTGTTGGTCCCCAGGGTGCCAATCTGCTCTCTGCTGCGGCCGCCTCACCCCCTTTCCTCAGGGCTGACCCATCCGTGCACCCCACTCGTGCTTTCTTCCAATTCCTGTCAGTTCACTCAAGTCCCAACTCAGAGCCTTTTCTGGATTATCCCCACTTACTCAGATCTGGTCCTTTATCTCATGTCCCTTGCATACTTCTATTTTGGGTTTAGAGAGTTGCATCTCCCACCCGGGCTACTGTGGTGGACAGATTTTGGGTGGGGGCTCGCAGGATCCTCGTCTCCTTCCTGGTGTTTACTTGCTCATTGGGATTCCCTCCTCTGGAGTGTAGGTGGGACCCGAGACTTGGTTTGAAGCAACGGAACACAGTGAGCAATGGGATGTGTACGGTTATGTTAAGGAGGACGGAATCCTGTCCCGTGAGGAGACTTTCTCCCTTGCTGGCTTTGAGGAAACAAGCAACCATGTTGGGAGAGGCTTGCATGACCAAAATGTAAGAGCTGCTTCCAGCCAACAGCCAGCAAGAAACCGAGGCTCTCAGTCTGCCAACCTGCAAAGAACTACATTCCCTCCGAAACCATGTGGGCTTAGAGGTAGACTCCCCTCCACTTCCGTCCTCAGATGAGCTAGCAGTCCTGGACCATACCTTGACCACAGGTCTGTGCAGGCAATGTGCTGGGCAGAGACCCCCACTAAGCCGTGCCTGTGCTCTTGATCCTCAGAAACTGGGGTGGGATAATAGATGTGTGTTGTTTTAAGCCAGTGAGTCTGTGGTTATGTTGTTGCTCAGCGATAGATAACCAATGAGGTTGCCATTCTGCCAGCTGTGAGACATAGCAGGTTACTGAATTTCACAAAATGCAGTTTCCTCATCTGTAAAACGGGAGTACTGACATCTCCCAAAGTGGATTAAGTGATGAATCAGTGAGGGGGTGTGTGGGGAAAAGCCTAGCATGGGGCTTACACTCAATTAACGATAGCATGCCTTTGTCCTGAGCTCATCAGCCTTCCTCAACATTGGATTTGCACAACACGCTAGATTAACAGAGTCAAAGTCAATAGCAAATGATTGAGTACATATCACCTGTACATGTAAGATTCTTTAAATAAAGAAAAAAATTGAGTTAAAATTTAAAAAAATTATTAAAAATGTATTTTAAAATAATAAATTAAAAATTAAAAACTTAAAAACAGATAATTAGTTAAATTTCTTAGGTGAAAAAATTTAATATTTTTAAATAAAAAAAATGATGGTATGCAGCTCTACGGTGCTCATTGCATTAAGAAGCGAAAGCACAGAGGGCAGAGAAATAACACTGACCCTTAGAGATCTCGGAAGTCTCGGTCATTCATTTACAGACCAGGCCTAGGGGAAGCATAATGACGACACTGACAGAGAGCCGCGTGGCGGCCGTGCTGGCATCCTGGCACGTAGGTCTCGTTCAGCCCTGAGATCGGCAGCCAGGGAGCAGCTTCCTATCACCCGTCCCCCTTATGCAGAAGAGCTCGTGTGCTCTAGCACCCTCCGCCTCTTTCCATCCTAAACCTGAGGAACAGGCCGCCGGTCTCACATCTGGCAGGTGGCACAGCCAGGACCCAATGGCTCCATCCCAGATGGAACCTTTTCACCCACCCAGAGCACTGGCCACAGAGCAGGATCTCGATGAAGTCAAGGTTGAAGAACAAATGGATAAACGGAGCCGCAGGTTCATTCCTTAACCAGACATCAAGAATGCTGACCACACTGGGCCCACTGTGGAGCCTTTTTACACCTGGATCAGCCGCTGTTCTCCAGTGACGTCCCCCAGCCCCCCCAACCCCCGCAGGGGGCATGGGTGATCCCCGAGGGCGGACCAGGAGCAACTGGACAGGGTACGGCCTCTCCTCTCATCGGGATGAGCAGGCTCCACCTGGGAGCAACAGCTGCCGGGACAAGGCCCAGCCTCGGCCGCCTACGACCCTGGCTGTCAACACAAACTGGTGACACCAGGCACCAGAAACGTTTCCACACAAAAACAAGTTAAAAACAACAGAAAAGGAAAATCCCCGTGCTCACGTAACCCTCGGCTAGCTCAGTCTCCCGAGGAGGCAGGAATCAGGACTGCCACTCCCAAGAAGAATGAGGAACAGAGATGTTGAGAAACCTGCCAGAGTTGTGGCCTGAGTCAGCACAGGGGAGAGAAAACAAAACTGCGCGTCTGAGCCCAGGGCCCTGGGCACCGAACGCAGCAGCCCTGCTTCCTGAAGCCTCTCCTGCTGCTCCGGCTGAAATTTCAAGATCCCCTTTCCATTTTTAGGCTTAGCTTTCTTTGTGCTCCAAAGCCAAGGTTTCTCTTCCTTTCCTACGTGTCTAGACCCCTTTGCTCCTAAGTACCCTCCGTAAATGCCGCCATCTTCGGTTCCTTTCCCCTCAAAATAAAAACAGATGCCAACAGGCCTGTGTTGGCGTCTGGAAATATATGAAATTGAGCAGTTACCATCAAGGTCCTGGGGTTCCGCCACAGCCCAAGTGCCAGCTGCAGGGTGGGTTGGAAGCCAGACCCTGAGTAGACTCCTCGGTAAGACCTCGCACAGCCCATGACCATCATCAGAATGTTAACTGCCTTTAAGTACCCAGTGTTCAACTTCAGGGAGATGGTCTGGGACCAGAAAAGACATACATGTTCTGAACTTAATGCAAATGTCAGTCGAGAGCGTGGTTTCTAGATTAAGATCACCTGCTTCTGAAGTAAGTGCATTTCATAACAATATATAGCAATATCTCCATAGTAGCAGGCTCCAACCTGGCAGCACAGAGCCTGACGCAGGGCTCAAACTCACAAGCTGTGAGATCATAACCTGAGCTGAAGTCAGACACTTAACTGACTGAGCCACCCAGGTGCCCCAAGATCCTTTCTTGTAGGACAAATGTGTTCACTGGAGCTTCTGCTTCTGGGTAAATGCTACTGCCGAATATCAGCCTGCAGTGTTACTTTGTTTTCCCTTCTGATTAGTTTGGATTTGGGGTTTTCATTGGTTGTGAATACAATGGAATAAAAAAAAAATTGGAGTTGCTTGACAACACTAGGGATTAAGTCGAAAGTATGTGCAGAGCAGTAACAGGTATGTGAGTAACTCGTGTCAACATTGTGGCCTTAGCTTCCCTGAAAGTAACTGGGCGGGCGGGGGGAGATGGGGAGGAGGCCAACCTTTGGATGGCTGATCTCTGAGATTCTTCCAGAGCTAGACCTGGATGACACTAGTCCTGGGTTGCCACTCCACTTCAGCCCAATGTCTACTGTCCAACCACCTCAGGAACATTATGGGGAGGGACACAATATGTGTAATGTTAAAGCCTTTTTGCATGCGGATACGCTGGTACATTTCTGGTACATTTTCATTTAATGAGCTTTACTAATAAGATTGACAAGGATTTCTGTTCCTCCCTCCTTGGCTCAACTCACTGGAAAGTTCAATCAAAAGATTCAAATCAGAGTGTTCTTAATTTCAGAGCACTTTGCCCCACTCAACCAAATGCAACCCTACTATGGTTTCCATAAGGACCCAATGTCTTTACTGTCAGCTGCTGGTCAGTAGGCAATGTCCATTCTCTTGGTTATAACCAATCAATCCTTTGTCTTAGACTCTCTGCTCTAACTCTTCTCCATCCTCTCGTCCAGCCCTCCACAAAATATTGCTATGGCTTTCTTTTACTAATAAAATCCTGGTGCCAACCATACATCATCCAAGAGGCCACCTTATAGTAAACCTTTAAATATAAAATGACCGTCCTCCAGAGTTTCCCAAGGTTGGGCTTTGGGATTATCTCTCCCCAGGGTGAGAGTTTTAAAAACCCAGCGAGAATTTTATATTGTCTTCAAACATCCAACACAAGTACTTCCACTCAAAGAAACTGCCTCTTTCCTTGCTCACCACAAAATTTAGACAGGCTTGCAAAACTGAATGCGGTTTTGTAAGACTACTGGATGAGATTTCAATGATCAGTGAGGGTAAAAACTAACAAATAACAGCCTCTGAATACCAGTTTCCTAAACAAGTGAATGAAAATGGCTGGAGGAAGTCAAGTTCAGTTGAATTTCAGTCCAAGCAAAGGAATCTTATCACTAAAAAACAAACAGCCTATTCTTTGGGGGAACATAAAGTAAGAAGGGTGAATTACAACCAAAAAGCTGTCCTTTTTAGCAGAAAGCTGGAAAACTGTCGAAAAGACTTAAACCAGCCACGGTGTCTAACAGGTACATTTCATGTCTGTAAGCTCTGGAAAAGCAGTCGTGATGAAACATTTTGGCTCTAGCCAGTAAGCCTCACTCTAAAAGGTTCTGGAGAATTCAGACAATGAAAACAACGGAAAGAACCAAAGGCCAGACAGAAAAGCCAGGCTCCGACAACACCCCCCAGCTGCCTGCCAGTCTGGCACTGGAATCCTTCTTTTCAAATCTATGCAAATGTCCTGAAAAGGGTAATGAAATTTCCATTTCTCTCTGCACGGGTCAGCTGTCCTTGGGATTCTTCTGCTTAGGCAAAATGCCACTGAAGGCAGAACAGCAAGACGATGTCTTTCCAGAATCCTCAAGAAGCCTTAGGAAAGTCTTCAACAGATAAATAGAAACATCTATTCTAAAACTACAACCCTTAAAAAAAACAAAACAAAAAAAAACCCCACAAGGGGTGGAATAATGCCTGTAGCTACATGATGTAGAAGAAACTCACACATTTTTAGCCAAAGCTTTGTAAATATAAGCAAAGTAACCTAGTGTTATCTCAACTGCAAAATTAAGGCATAAACATGCTATTCAGAAGTGTCTTTGGTGGGTCTTTGAGATCAGGGCTGTGGACGTGCACCGAACGGGATCGGGACCGTGGGCGCGCACCGAACGGGATCGCGTCTGTGGACGCACAATGAACGGAAGAGCTCTGTGCAGCTGTCTAGGGCAGCATAACAGTGGAGGGGTGAGGGTTAAGAACAGGCTTTTGGCGCCAACCACGTGAAGGGGGATTCTATCTGTTTTACCAGTTGTTCGTCCCTGGATACGATGCTTTACCCACATTGGCCTGAGTGCTGTCATTTTTAAAGCAGGAATAACAAGAATACCCAAGCTGACAGGGTCGTTCTCATAATCAAACAAGTCAGCTGATTCCAGGCAGTTAGCCCAGTTCCCAGGGCACGATAAACATGCAGCCAATAGTAGTTATTCTTACTGAGGCCTAGCAAAGACCATAAAGGGCACATGCAGGAGCTCAAAATGTGACAAATAAATAACCAATAACAGGCTTATCCAGTTTGACAGATTAGAAGGTTCTTGCAGGAAAGGTTTGATCTCACATTCATCTTATGTTCCCAGCAAGGAGGAAAGTTAGGCCCTTGAGGACAATGAAGGAAACAAGCCAATCACAAAAGGACGAATACTATTTGACTCCACTCGCATGATGTACCCCACAGGAGCCAAATTCACAGAGGTAGAATGGTGGTCGCTCTTGGTGGGCTGGGGACAGGGGGCTGGGGACTTCGTGTTTAATGGGGATAGAGTTTCAGAGTTCTGGAGATGGATGATGGGGGTGGCCGCACAACGCTGTGAAAGCACTTACTGCCGCTGAAATGTGCGCGTGAAGACAGCAAAAATGGTCAGTTCTGTGTTATGTCTATTTAGCCACGATTTTTGAAAATAAGCTAAAAAAAAAAACAAACCCAGAAAGTTGATGTTCAGGAACTAAATGGTTAGGTTAGTGGCTGATAATTCACAAAGAACCTGTCATTTAAATCAACCCAATTCTGACACAGACTGTGTGCCAGTCACGGGAGCGGCATCTCACTAAAGGACACTGGGAAGGATTCCTGAACATTTATGGGAGCTGACTGTAGTTATTCATGATAGGGCCTCTGCTTTCTTTTTGTAATGTTTGCAAGCAATAACATTGACTCAGGATGTATATGTCCTAATTATAATCGAGTCCCCCGAAAATTAAACAGAGATCACCAGAGAGTATATAATGTAATGTTGGCAGATAAAGGAGTCATTGGTTTGTCCTATAAGGATTGAAGAACCAACTTAATCCGGTTCTAATTCTGTGGCCCTTCCCTGGGGAATCAGATATGGGCTCAGTCACCTGGCCTGATCAGAAGCTCTACTGAATTGGAAAAGAAGGGGAAGATATGTGGAAACAAGTAAACCTGCTGGAATGGAATGATGGTCGAGATCTCAAGGTTGAGTTCAAGTCCTGACCCAAAACCTCACTGGCCATGTGACCTAGAACAAGTGCTTTCACTTCTAAGAATGCAGGAGGTGGAAGAAATGGTCCCCAAGGTTCTATCCAGCTTTTGGCTAAACTCAGATTCCACTGAAAACATCCTTCCAGACTCCTGATAATTTATGCAAATAAAACAGACTTAGAAAAACTACTTCTCCAAAGAAATATTATTTGTTAATCATGCACGAAGATGTTATGGGCGATCAAGTAAAGAAATGCTGTGGCCAAGTCTTCTGGGAACAAAAGTACCCAAGGAGAAGTTGGCTGAGACAATAAAGCCAGAATAATTCCCAGGATGGAGGAGAGGTTCTTTGCTGTGTGGAGAAGCGGGTGGCCCCACCCTGAAGGGCTGCCCCAACTTGATCTTTGCCCAGTTCCAGGGCCCCCCTCCTGCCCCCTTACCTGCATAGGAAGACACAGGGGAAATCTGCAGAGGGTAGAGCTCGCTCATGCTGACCGGCTGTTCGTCACTCTCGGTGGTCACCTCTACAACCTGGCAAATGTCCGGAGGGTTTGTGACAATCTCTTGATCCTCAATGTTGCTGTCCAGATGCGACTGTCCTACAACTTCAAAGAAAAGACATCCATCATGGGCCGATGCCTGAATCACGATTGTAACATATGTTCTCAAGAAAAAAAAACCTTCCCCCAAAGAGCTGAATAGTCAGGAGTCGATTCTCAGTGACCACGTGTCATCAGCCACGAAACTGAAAAACAGCTTTAGCTTTGGGTTAATGTCTCCTCGATGCAGCCTGCCAGTAAGCCGGCTCCCCGGGGCTATTTCCAGCATGCTGGCCAATGGTGCTTACATGTGGCAAAGTCCCAACCTCAATCCAGTCACAGCCAAGCCTGCAGGTCCAGAGGCTGCATCCAGACCTAGCCCCTGGGCCCGAAAGATGGTGCTTTGAACTTGACCCATTTCTGTCCTCTGTTCTTGCTCTGAGGGAAGCTGCTGTGCCATCTTCCAGGTCCTGGGTCCAGAGAGACGTTATCAAATCTTATTAAGGAGAAAGGACCACCAAAATCCGCTCTACTGTGTCACACCCAGCTGTGGGGGCTCTGTTCACGGTCCCAGCCCCTTCCTGCCCTGCCGGCAACGTGACCACTGGATGAAATATCGGAACAATGGATCAGAATGGTTTCCCAACCAGATTAGCAGCACCAGCTCCCCAGCACACGGAGAAGATGAATTCTGACCACCCTGGTTCCGAATCCTGCCTCAACTTCTTTTTAATGACATCCTTTAGTTTGGAGTCATTATAGACTCACATACAGTTGGAAGAAGTGATAGATCCTGTGTGCCCTTTATCCGGTTTCCTCCAACGCAAGCATCCTGCAAGACTATAGTGCAATACCTGGCGCACCAAGGGGGCTCAGTCAGTTAAGCAGCCAACTCTTTGTTTCAGCTCAGGTCATGATCTAACAGTTCATGAGTTCGAGGCCCCCCACTTGGGATTCTCTCTCCCCTCTTTCTGCTCCTACCCCACTTGTGCTCACGCATGTGTGCGTGCTCTCTCTCTTTCTCAAAATAAATAAACCTAAAAAATTAAAATTTAAGACTATAGGTACAATACCAGCATACTGACACTGATAACATTCTACACATCTTGTTCAGATTTCTTCAGTTTTCCTGTGTGTGTTTGTGTGTGTGTGTGCGCGCGCACATGTGCGCAATTAGCTTTATGCAATTTTATCACATGTGGAGTTTCATGTTTGCCAGCACAATCAAAATACAAAACAGGTCCATCATCACAAGCGTCTCCTATGTTACTCTTTCATAGCTGTATCTACCTTCCTTCAGCTTCTCTTCCCCAAGGTATCTAATCCCTGACATCCACTAACCTGTCCCCCATTTCCATAATTTTTGTCATTTCAAGGATGTTTCATAAATGAGCTCACAGAGTAACCTTTTTATATTGGCTTTTTTCACTCAGTGTAATTCCCTAGAGATTCACCTAAGTTGCTGTGTCTAACAAAAGTTGGTTCCTTTTCATTGCTGAGTAATATTCCATGGTGTGGATATACCACGGTCTGTTTAACTCTTCACCCATGGAAGGAAGAGAGGAAAGGCACCCAAGAGGCTGGGGAAGGAGGCTGTTTCCACGTTTTGGCTGTTACAAATAAGGCTGCTATGAACATGTGTGTTTAGGGTTTGTATGAACCGAAGTTTCCATTTCTCTGGGATAAAAGCCCAAGAGTGCAATTGCTGGATCATATGGCAACTTCATGTTTCATTTTATAAGGAACTGCCAAACTGTGGCTTGCCATGGCTGTCCTGTTTCACGTTCCCACCAGCAAAGTACGGATGATCTCATTTATGCACATTTCGGTCAGCTTCTGGTGTTACCACCGTATTTCTGTGTCAGCCACTCTGATAGGTGTGTAGTGGTATCTCACTGTGGTTTTAATTTGAATGCCCCTAATGCCCTCCCCTACTTTTAAAGAGAACTGGCCTGAGACTTCTATTGGCAACTGACTGGATGAACTATCCCTGAAAACTGGCACCAATAAACACATGGAAATAGTAAAGGAATAACAATGTTTTCCCAAGGGCCTCAAAATACTCTGTCAGTATAGTCAATGTTTTACTCACGTAAGATATTTTAACATTTCCACCCATGACCATGACAGGCAAACCATCATAATCCTATTATCAATTAAGAAACTCAGGCACAGAGAAGTAAACTGACTTCTCCAAAGTCACAAAGTTTGTGGGCTATGTACAGTGTCCACGTCCCTCACATTTTCTGGGCCATCAAGGTAGGCAAGAAGGCCATCATGTTCCAATCTTCTTGAGAAGTTTGCCACCATGGACAAATTCTTATTTTAACTGCTCAAAGTATTTTCATTGCTCTAGTATTTTTGTTTATAAATGAGTTCCTGTTTTAATTGCTTTTTTGGAGACAGACGAAATGACCAGCACGAGGTAGGGAGAACATGACCTGATTCTACTCAGAGGAGGCTTGCGAGGGGAGTGAGAATTCTCCGGTTCCAGAAGGCAGAGAGGAAAGGCATTCAAGAGGCTGGGGAAGGAGATTTGTGCATGTGATAACCGTCCACAGAGCCACAGCGTTCAGAAGGGAAGGGAAGTGGAATGTTGTTTAAGTTCTCCTGGAGGGAATACAATTAAAGAAGAGGAAAACAGGCTATATACGGCAGACAGAATCTCCAATTTTTATTTTATCCTTTGCACTAGCCTATTTGAGCATGAGAGCATCAATTATGCAGTTCACCAGACACAGACGAGTGCCGACACCGACCGCTCTCAGGTTTCTTCTGCCTCTTCTCGCGTGGAAGGCAAAACAGCAGGAAAACGAGATTTCCCAAGTCCTGAAAGCAGTTGGCAGATAGAAACCAAATGGGGCGTGTGTGCGTGCACATGTGCATGTGTACGAGGAGAAGCTGGCTACAAGTGACACCCTGCACACTAAGGCAATTAGGGTCTTCTGTATATTTGATTTCAGTCAAAGCCACGTTAACTTCCAATACTCCAAAATTCAATTCTCTTTTGCATGGTTGTTGCAAACAGACAGCAAGCGAGCTGGGAGCATATGCACTGGTAGCACGTCGAACATCTTCCTCTCTCTCTCTAACAGCCCTGTGCTGTCTGACCAGGAACTCATGCCCTCGCTGCTCTTCCCTTGAATGCCCGACTCAGTCACTAAACATACAGAAGATTTACTGAGCACCTACTTCTATGGAGAACTTGTCACATACTAGGGAGGGCAGGCCATGACTAAGCCGGCAAGGACCTATTTTGTGAGCACGCTGGTATGGCTTTGAGAACACTCAAGAAGCGAAGTTTAGGACAGTTGTGAAAAGAAACAGAAGGGAAGAAGGCTGGGGAGAGGCCACATCAAAGAGTCGAGACAGTAGAGAATTTCCTCCCAGTTGGAAGAATCAAAGGCTTCAGTGAGGCAGTCACACGAGTTGGCAGGGGAGAAGGAGTAACAGGCAGCGTTCAGAATGCCCCTGTCTTTCTACAGCCTCTTCCTGACCATCCAGGACTGTCTGACATCCCCTTCCAGAGCACCCCTCAGTGGCGGTCCCCACTGCTCGGCCAACACTAACAACATGACATGACCTGGTGTCATGTCATTTCCTGACTTTCTGCCTCCTACCACAAGCTAATTCTCTATGTCTCCCTGTAACGTTTTATTTGGATGCATCATCACCCCACCAAATCGTGGCTCCTGAGAGCCGAGAACCGGGATTAGAACTTTGTGTGTCAAGTCGCAGCACAGGCTCATGGCGGACGCCTGAGAGCAGCTAGTAAATTTCTGCTAAACAAAGAGATGGATGAATACAGCATGGCTCACCGACTGGAGCCAGGGTCCTGGAGGAGACCGTGACCACTTGTGAATGCCGGATGTGACAATGAATGTGTCCTAGCAAATGTCAGGACTCCTGGAGAAGAACCTAGATGAACTGATGAAGACGGGGCAGACCATAGTTGCCAGACGCTGGGGGTAAGGGAGGAAATGCTTAGGGGTGATAAAATGTCCTGGGTTTTGAATATAGTGGTGGTTACACCGCCAAGTGCACCAGCCAAAATTCATATAGCTGTATGCCAAGAAGGGGTTAATTTTACATTACTTCACTTAATATCTGAACATCACCGAGCACCCAACCCATAGGTCCCAGCCCAATAGAGAAACAGGGAAATATCAACATCTGAGCTGGTCTTTGGATGTGATTTAGGAATAAGCCCCAATCAACTGAACGATCTCTGTCTCTGCGTCTCGCTCTCATAAGTTCCCTAAACCACTAGCCTTTGCCCCCAAGTGACAACAGACAGTAACACTAACTCCTGACACTGGAAGAGACATGCCAATAGCAAACTTGTTAGCATCCCCTACAGCAAATAAAGGCAGAAGTGACACCCTGCTAGGCTTCTGACTATCCTCACTGCTAAACAGGAACAAAGCCGAAGGCTTCCTAAGCACTTCTCTTTGCCTTTCCCACTCACCCCCTACCTCCCACCTAGAAGGCTCCACAACCCCATGAGGAAGGCACAATTACTGTCCCTGTTCTAGACAGGAGGAAAAGGCATCATGAAGAGTGAAACATTAATTCAAGGTCAGACAGCCAGTAAGTGGCAAAACCAGGAATCAGATTCCACTTTCCTTGACCCCAAGGATCAACTCAAGTGCTCCACAATGCCGTCTCCCAGATCTCTCCAACCTAGAGAGCTCATGAAATTCTGACCGGACTCCTCCTGGCTTTCTAAGCCCATCTGAGGGTAAAAGCGTACGCATCTCACCTTAATGAGACTCTGGGCTCGTTACCAGTAGTGACATTGCTTTTCAACAGCTCTCTATTGGGTGCCAAGGAAATCTCCAATGGTTAGAGGGGCTTGACTAAAGTCCTCCACTAAACTTCTCCAGCACATCAGGAAAAGAGTCCCCCCGCCCTCTCCCCACAGGAATGTAATTTTATCTGGACCAAGTTGCTAAGAATTACAACAATATTATTCATGGCTGGTTACTGATGAACCAGTTTGGTTCCTTAAAAGGTCATCGCAACTTTATTAACAATTGTTGCCTTAGTGGAGGGCTCCACCTGAG